AAGTTAAAAATTCTGAAATGACTTTTAATAGTCGACTATATAGTCTAGTAGTCGACTACACTGTAACTTTACAAAAACTGAGATTTTGCCTAAGTGTTTAGTAGTCGATTATAAAAAGTCATTAGTCAACTAGACTGTAATTTGATAGATACTTATATTTTTGATCTGAACTGAAGTAGTCGACTACAAGTCTTATTGGTCGACTACTAAGGGGTAAAAATTAATGAATGAAATATTTTTAGACTCGTTGATAAGCTATAAACTCTAATGGTTAACATAGGGGGTTTCTATTGTTAACCAGCACATTAAGCATGTGTAAGTGTATTCTAATCTCTATGTATGTGTATGTGTGAGTGATCAAGGCTTATTCAAAATTTCTGTATGTGTATGTGTGAGTGATCAAGGCTTATTCAAAATTTCTAAGTAAAGGAAATGTAAAATTTATATTGATGTATAAGCTCTTCATCTTCTTTACTTCATGATGCCTTGAACTCATTTTGCACTTGTTCATATTTGACGTTGAAAACTGCATTGATATGCTAGTGAACAATAATACACATAGTGATATACATAATGAATAAATTGTTATCATTAAAATTATATCTTGGGGACATGATATCCAACACTGGATGACTATTGCTCTGGGTTATTAAGGTATTCGGTTTTCATGCCACGTATTTACATTGATGACTTTTTTACTTTTAGGCTATGATGATTGTCAAAATTTCTGAGATAGCAACTGCAATATCTATTGATATTACACTGGATGGCTAACAATGATGATATTGTCCAAGTTCTAAGCCCTAAGTCGTAATTTGCATATACTCGCGTTTGAATTATACATTTACTTTATACATTTACCTGAACACAAACATTTCCTTGACGCAACATTACTTTCCCTCATGTTATATACATATTATGTTGAGACTGTTCTGGTGAGACTGTTTATGCTAACAGTTACATGTGCTCGGGATTGTTCAGGCTTTGGTGAGACTATTTTTGGGTTACATGTAGGGCTGTCCATCCGGGTCGATCCGGCCCGGCCCGGCCCGAAAAACCGGGCCCGGGCCGGGCAAAACCGAAGCCCGAACCCAGGGGTTTTTTAAAATTTTTTAAAATTTTTTAAAATTTTTAAAAATCCCTATAAATCATAAAATATACATAAAAATTATAGAAAATGACAAACTTTTTAACTAACTTGAAATGACATAACTCACAAGTACAAAAAATTATAAAAATAAAAGATGATAAAAATAACTTATTTATTAATAATCAGTAAATCCTTTATAAGTATAAATTTATTTTAGAATTTGTCGCATCACAATAGATGAGTACATCCCAACTAGGTTGGTACCTACTCACCTATATCACTATCATTTGTAACTTTTTTTTTTAAATAATTCATTACAAATTTAAAGCTAAAAAATAAAAATTATAATTTAATGAATATTATCTAATCTTTATACCTATCTGTTAGTCCCAACTCTTCAAATTTATCTTCAATTCTAGCCATCTGATCGATATCTTGTGTTCGCTTCTCGTACCTTCACCAATCTTGTAAGCACATAACCGCTTGTATAGTATACGGATCTAAGTATGTCTTATGGTCGTCGATTAAATGTCCTGCTGTGCTGAAGGAGGATTTTGAAGCTACCGTCGAAACCTGCACTGTTAGTAAGTCACGAACCATGGTGAAAAATATAGGATATGAAACTGATCTATATACTCCCTACCATTGTAAAATATCTAAAATATTTTCTTGACATTTAACTAAGGAAGCAAATAAATATTCATCTATTTCAGAAACCTCTAATGCTGATCCAAGTCCAGATCTACCAGTTAGTTCAGCTACCATTGCATACCTATCAAACCTTACACTTTTACCTCAGCCTGTGATCGAAGGCGCCGAAGCTGTAGACTGTTGTGCAGCTATACCATGTCTACCTACATACCCATCATATAATGTTTGAAAGTAATTTTTAATAGCTAAATGATGAGAAGTAGCAGTAAGGGTGGATCCATCATCTAAGTCTATAATCTGTCCACCATATAATGATTGTAACAAACTTCGAATGCCAATATCCTTCAAACATGGATCAATAAGAATCCTTAAACCAAAAATATGAGGAATATGCCTAAAATACTTATTAAATTTGCTTTCCATTTGAAAAATTATAGATCTAAAAGTATCATCCATACGATATTTTTAAAAAAAACTTTTGAATATTTAAAATTTGTAAAGCAGCTAAAGTAATTATTGGATAATAACAGCCACATAATAATATTGTAGCATCATAAAAGACTTGTAACATCTCATTTAAATTACATATAATTATCCATTCATCTTCAGTTATTCCATAACTACTACCAGAAGTAGAACTAGAAGCATAAAAATTTATAAAATCATTTATATTTTTTTTTATATTATATTGCTACACTTAACATTACATAGGTGGAATTTTACGTATGGTCAACATCTTTTGGAATTAGTCTGGGCTTATAATTTTTTCTTTTACAACATTGTTTCCATCTTTTAATTCTCATTTCAGAAGCATTATGCATATTAGCAACAGTTCTAACCTTTCCTATCATGGGTTTAATTTCAAAAAATACACTTTGAATAATTAAATTTAAAATATGACAGATACATCTAATATGAAAAAGTTCACCATGACATGACAATGACAAAGTTATTTTGATAAAATCAACAGCTATATTATTATTACTTGCATTATCTAGTGAAAGAGAAAATATTCTTTGATCAATTTCTAGTTTCATAAGTTCTTCAATTATTAAATTTGCAACATTAATATCAGTATGTGACTCTTTAATTGTATAAAAGAAACAACTCTTTTAAACATTTGCTAATTTTTATCAATCTCGTGTGTTGTGATACATAAATAACCAGTTTGCACTCTAGATGTCCAAATATCAGAAGTTAAAGAAAATTTACAGTTTAAATTTTTAAAATAAGAAATTATTTTTCCTTGTTCCTCCTTATAATATTTTAAAATATCACGTTGACAGGTTTGACGAGAAAATTTGGTAAATGCAGGATAAAAACTATCTCTAAAAAAATCTTTAAATTCATCATCTTCTACTAATCTACAAGGAAGGTTTTTAAGAACGATAAATCTGATTACGCATTTTTTGGCTCGGGCAGCGTCATAACTCCAACTACCGAGACTACCAAAGGAGGAGGATTAAGAAATCATAGATTATCGGATATCACCTTGAAAATTCTGGCCTTTGTTGTGTTTTTCAATATGGTGTTTGAGGTGGTTGGTGCCGCTCTTATGATGAGCTTGGAAATCTGGCCACACAACGCACATTAAGCCTTCTAGGTGATGATCCTACCGTGTTCACCCTTGGTGACATCTATCTTCTCAAAAAAAATTCACGTATCGGATCTCGGCCTTTTAGGAGCTCTTGGTGCAGATTCGTCACCACCAAATTCAGGATTAACACCGGTAGGAGGAGTAGTTATTGTAGGAGGACTCATTTCTGGATCAGTAGGAGATAGATTTTGCTCTTCATATTCAGATCCAGAAGCCATTTGATGAAAATATTAGAAAATATAAGAGATTATAAGAGAGTATAATATTGTATAAGAGAGTATTAGAGAGAAGTAGAAGAGTTTTGGTGTGAGGAGAAGAAGTAAAAACCCTCCTCTATTTATAGAGGTAGCCCCTAGGCCGGCCCGAATCTCGTGCCCGCCCCGGCACTGTTCCGGGCCGGACCCGGGTCCGGACCGATTTCTGAAAAACCGACCCGGGCCTGGCCCGGGCATCCGGGCAAAACCCGGGCCGGGCCCGGGCCGCGAGCTTTTTGGACAGCCCTAGTTACATGTATTCATGTTGTTGTTTCCTGATTCATTTTGCTTCACCTGTTTGTGAAGGCCTAGTTGTGAATAATATGCTACTATGAGGGTATTTACTACCATAATTAGTAGCATTTTGATACTGTTTTGTGTTCAGGCTTGTGATCAGGTGCTGTTTGTGTTCAGTTTTGTGTTAAGGGGTTGTTGGTGTTTAGTTTCGTGTGCAGGCTTCGTTGGTGTTCAGTTTTGTGTTCAGGTTTTGTTTAAATGTTTTGTGTTCAGGTTTGTGATCAGGTGTTGTTTTGTTTTCAGGTTCAGGTTTGTGTTCAGGTTTTGTTAGCGTTCAGTTTTGTGTTCAGGTTTTGTGTACATGTTTGTGTTCAAATTTTTAGACTTTTTTACTTTTAGGCTATGATGATTGTCAAAATTTCTGAGATTAGCAACCTGCAATCTATTGATATTGCACTGGATGACTAACAATGATGATATTGACCAAGTTTTGAGCCCTAAGCCATAATTCAGGTACGTTTATATTGTCAAATTTTATGACTAATCAGGTTGTTTATATGTTTTTATAGGTTTCATAAGAATTTTTTGCTAATTCAGGTACGTATTTCATAAAATTATGAATAATCAGGTTATTACATGTCTCGTTTGTTTTTTCTTAGAAAACAGGTTTCGTGTGATTTTTTCATATCAAATAGGTTTATTTTATTAAGATTACCTCCCATAATGATCACAAATAAATTTGTCTTTAGTGGGGGTAATTTTACCATGATGACGATATACACTTTTTCCTACATACTTCAAAACCAACCAAACACAAGAAAAATGGGAAATGTTAAATCAATAAAAGTTTTTCATTTTTTTATACAAACCAAACACAAGAAAAATCCATACATTGATTTCTCACTATATTTTATGTGCGAACCAAACCAAAACAATATATTTTTTGAAAAAGTTTGAAAAACTCAAAACTTGAGTTTTTATACATGGAATTGCATTTCCCAATATATAGGAAACGAACCAAACAACCCCCCTGTAGAAATTGACCAAACAGCCACCAAGGCTATAGGAAAGGATAAGGATGTCAGGTAACTTGAGAAAGGCCCCCGCTGACCAACCCAAATTACCAAAACTACCACGCGGGTCTTTATCTCTCTCTTATCAAAGACAAAATCAACGTTGGCTCCTCATCGTCGTCTTCCACACAAAATTACTTATCTGCCCTCTCCTCCCAATACGATCAATCAAAACCCTAGGCGTTCGGTCGATCGATGCTCCTGCAAACAAACAATCAGTTGACGAATGGAGAGAATCGTTGGAGGGAAGTACAAGTTAGGTCGTAAGATCGGCAGCGGATCCTTCGGAGAGATTTATCTTGGTGAGTAACAGTCGATCTCAAACCCTACGCTTCGATTCTCATCTCTATGCTCGATTTCAGCGTGAACTTTGATCTTTTGCAGCTACTCACGTCGATACGTTCGAGATCGTCGCCGCCAAGATTGTGAGTTTTCTTGCGGATTCTTGATTTGTGATTAGAGGGACGAATTAGCGTTTGTTAGTGTAAAAGAATGATCTTTTTCAAGTGATTTATGTGATAATCTTATTGAAATCATGGTTCTCGTTTGATGAATATTTAGGAATGTTTCCCTGAACTAAAGCAGTTGTGGAAATCTTGTTTCTCTCTCCTTTCAGTATTGGGTATTGTGACAATTTAGCATGTTTTTTGATTGATTTTAATTATTTTTCTGTTAAGTTCCTTGTGTTAATAAGCACCTATTTAACTTTAGAATTAGGTATTCTCCAAATATCAAACTGAGATGCATTATTGTTTGCACTTCAATATACCGCATGATCTAGCCTATCTGGCTTTGAAGTTTTCTTTATATGTAGTTTGTTTTAAGTTGTAGATAAGTTTCCAAGCTGTTGTTTGGAAATTCTTAGCAGTTTATTAATTGTATTTTCACTAATATTGTGTTTGGATATGTATGGAGTTACCTCAAATTCCCATTTTTGGGACTGAAGAAAAGTCCCAGTTTAGTCTAACACTTGAGGTTAGCTACCTATAATCTGTTTATCTTCGAATGGTAGTGAACCATGCAGTAGATTGATTTTTGGAGTTAAGGGATTGAAGTACAAAAGACAAGTGGTGAATCCAGGGTTTTATCTCATTTGTGTCCCCATAGAACTTATCATGGTTGTATTTGACATCTACATTGAATTTTATTCTCCTTAGTGCTCTCTTACCCTAATTCTAATGGCAACCTAAGCAATGTATCCAAGTAAAAGTGAATAAAAACATCTATGAAGTAGGCAATTCAGTGGTGTCCTGTGATACAAGTGGACAATATGTACTTGCGCCACGGCTAAGAACTGTAGTTAATAACTCCAGCGTAGAGCTGAATAATGGCCTCTCAAAAGTCAGGCTTTCTTGAAGTTCACAGAAAGAGTAAATTGCGCACCTTGTCTTCTTATCTCCTCTTCTATTTGCATACAAACAGTTAAAGAGTTAGTTAAGCTAGTTTAGACAACCACAATTTTTATTTGCTAATTACAATTTGCAAATCTGTAACTACAAGTCTACAATTGACAAACATGGTCAGTCATCTTTATCAAAATGTTTTGACTTAGTATTAGTCTTTTAGGGTATTTTTATGATGGAGAATTTTTGGTTTATGGCTTTGTGGAGTGTCTTGTAAATCTGTAACTACAAGTTTACAATTGACAAACAAGTTCAGTCATCTTTATCAAAACGTTTTGACTTGGTATTAGTCTTTTAGGGTATTTTTATGATGGAGAATTTCTGGTTTATGGCTTTGTGGAGTGTCTGAAAGAAATGTTGCAAGCTTTAGTTTTTTTATCTTAGGTATTTCTTTCCCGTCAAGTTCAAATTGATCGAATATGAGGCTTTTTAAACTAATTTTTGGTTGATTTGCCCAACTTATTTAATATTATATTAATTGTGTACAGGAAAATAGCAAGACAAAACATCCACAGTTGTTTTATGAGGCCAAGCTCTATAACATTTTGCAAGGAGGAAGTATGTAAATCTTATAGTTGGCATCGAATGCACCTATTATTATTGTTAAGCTCTTATTGATTTGAGGTCATGCATGCAGGTGGTATTGCGAGTATAAAATGGTGTGGTGTTGATGGGGAGGACAACGTTCTTGTTATCGATTTGCTGGGTCCAAGTCTTGAAGATTTGTTTGTCTATTGTGGAAGAAAGTTCACTCTGAAAACTGTTCTACTGTTAGCTGATCAAATGGTAATTGAAATTAGATTCTCAAGATGTTATATGGTCTTTATGGAACTTCATATTTTACAGTTTTGAGCTTGTCTGGTTGCCATTGATACTCAATTTAAAAGCTATTGAGATATATTTTAGAGGATGAACGTGATTTCATACTCTCAGTATTTTGATATAAACCTTGCGATTTGAGTATAAACCATGCCAGGATCCTTAATTGTAGGGACAACAGTAGCATGACTGCAGGGATTCCGGTAGTCTGCAATGTTTTCATCTTGTGTTCTTGTAATTTTTATGTTGATGTGGTGTGATAGTATGGCTGCAAGCATATAGATTAGGCCCATCTGGTTCAAACTGTTATCTGTAACTATGAAGTAAAGTTTACTTGCTTGAAGAGTTTTTTTCGTTTTTTTTAATTATAAAAAGTATTGCATTTGCGATATACACGCTATTTCATGATAACTAATCTGTTCTGTAAGCATGTCTCTGTAATACAGGATAGCAACTGATATGAGGTGGTTCTCCTAACGTTTCTTTATTTTATTCTTTAAATGTCTCTTTTTTTGTCCAGATATAAGCACAAAGTGTTTATCCCATACGTAAATATATAGATATACTGAGTGTTTTTGCAATGTTTGTTTCAGATTACAAGAATAGAATATGTGCATTCAAAGGGTTTCTTGCATAGGGACATCAAACCTGACAACTTCCTCATGGGTCTTGGTCGAAAAGCAAATCAGGTAGTTATTTTGGTAGGGTTTGGGTAGTTTTAAGTTTATGTACCTGGCTAACTTTGACACGATCTTATTTCTTGATGACACTTTTTAGGTATACTTAATTGATTTTGGGCTTGCAAAAAGATATCGAGATTCCACTACCAATCGCCACATACCATACAGGTAGAGGTTATTCTTCTTGAGTTAATGTTCTACTTTTGTGTGACATTGACCAGTCATCTTGATTTTCCCCCCTTTTGTTCATGTGATATATTAGGCACACCTACTAGATGAAGAATCCCATTTATTTTATGATCAACTGTTGTTAAGATTCCCTGGAAGTTAATTTGTTTCGTTGACAGTGTCGTATATTGAATAAAGTGTAAGATCTTTTTCTCTTGGATAGATTGCAGCGTTGAAATGCGGGGGATCACGATTACCAGTAGGGGTGACAATTTTGACCTTATCTGGGTCAAACTTTATATAAATGAGTCAATATCAGTAACGCATTTAATGAATGTGCTGGGTAGGCAGTCCACTTAACTCATTTGTGCTTAACAACCTGATTATAAAGTAATAGATTTTAAAAAGTTAAAATTAGTTCATTAGGTTTATATTAATTGATTTGAAGCTTAAGTAATCTCCATTCACCTGTTCCTTAATCAACCTAGTTATAGGTAAGAAAAGTGCTGAATTTTTATTGTTCTAGAAATCAATGACGAGCTCATTGATTTTGGTTTTGGTCTCTATTTGCATTATCTTTTCTATATAAATCTTAATATTGGAAATAGGATATCATCTTCTTCATAATCTAAACCCAGATCTTATCCACTTTAACTCTACCCAGTGTATAATGTGTACTGCAATTTTGATTTGCGTTATCTTTGCATTGACTATTATGTCCTGCTATGTTAACTTGACCCATTTGGAAACGAGACCCATATAAGAATCAGGCTAAAACCTGCTGAAGTCTATATTTGTTGGGTCAATTTGTGACGTGATCCAGACCTGAGCACAATTGACCTGCCATCTTTTGTTGAAGTGTAGAATGATTCGAGTTATATTAGTTATCATCAGTTATCAATAGCACATTTCAATAATCTAATTACTTGACTGAAGGTTCGATTTGTGCGTTCCTGGCGTTTTATTAATGTTTCAAAGTCCTTTCTGGTTCAGGGAGAATAAAAATTTAACTGGCACTGCACGATATGCTAGCTGCAACACTCATCTTGGCATTGGTGAGTAGCAACATATGCACACTTTAGTTTCCTTCAGAATAAGATATGCTAATATGGATTTTTGCTGGATTTGTGTTAGAGCAAAGCCGTCGAGATGATTTGGAATCACTTGGTTATGTTCTCTTGTACTTTCTGAGAGGAAGGTACACCTCAATTTCTTGGACTATTTTGATTGAATATCCTTGTGAGTGGTTATATTGCTTTAGTATTTACTTTCTTAAACAGGAAATTAGCACTTGTGACAGTCCTCTATATAAGCTTGATGAACTTTTACACAGAAATTTGTGACAGTTCGAATGTCTCAGGATACTGCATAATTGGCACATGAAACTCTCATGTTTAGGTCAAATATAAAAAAGAATAAAATATTCATGTTTGAATTATTAGAGTTCAAGGCATGTATATGGATATCAAAATATTGGTGGAAGACACTGCTTGGACAGTTCAAGGTGGTTCTATATGTTTGTGCATGTTGGGTCAGTGTCTGCTGGGGAAGATATGGTTTACTGATTTATCATCTTTACCTTCCGACTCAAATTTGTTTATATATATATATATGTGTGTGTGTATTAATACTAGTCACTAAATGTTTGGTGACATTAGGTAGCAAAAAAAGGGGGGGGGAACTATAGATTTGGTAAAGTTAGTACAAAATTGTTGTAACTTGTAAAGTAACTGTTGAATATTAGTATTAGTTAGGGACTTTTTTGTATAGTTGTGTAGGGCCTATATAAGCCCCAAGAGATCATAATAAATTAGGGTTTTTATTAGGCCAATTTGGTATCAGAGCGTCAACCCTAGCCCGACCCCCTGTCCGACCCCTGTTCGACCCCCTGTCTGACCCCCTGTTCCGACCCCCTGCTCGACCCCCTGGCTGTCTGACCCCTGTTCGACCCCCTGTTCCGACCCCTGTTCGACCTCCTGTCCGACCCCCTGTTCCGCCCCTGTTCCGACCCCTGTCCGACCCCTGTTCCGACCCGCTGTCCAATCAGCCAGCCTCTTGTTCTCGCGTTGCTGCGCTATGCCGGACCTCGAGTTTGGCATGGGTCCTTGACTCAGTCCTCGAACTGATGACAGGAAGAGTATATATCTCACAGCGATGAGATATATCACTGTTTTTTGATTCTAGTTTCCTCTGAGAAACGAGAATTTGTTGGAGATCTTACTCTTGTTGTGTAGCAGAAGTGCTGTCGAAATTTTCACTGCACAAAACAAGGGTTTGAAGAGAAAGGTGAACATGTGTTGGATCTGAAGCTTGATCGATGGAGAAGATCATCAAGAAGTTGAACCCTACGGAGGTGTCAACTTTGATGAAGTTGTCGGCTGATGAAAGCGCGACAAGACCATCGAAGAAGTTGGAGCTTCCGACCATCGATCTGAAGCTTGATGGACCGAGTACCTACCTGAGTTGGTCACGACGGGTGAGATACACCCTTGCAGGGAGGAACCTGGAGGGTTACTTGACCGGAGAGAAGACAGAACCGGATGAGAACTCGGGAGGACGAGATGAGTGGAAGTCCACTCATATGTTGGTGTACATCTGGCTTCTCAACTCGTTGGTCCCGACGATCGCCGCCACGGTGGATGGCATTGAGAAGGTGAAGGACGTCTGGGAGAAGTTGAGGAGAACATATGATGGGGTGGGGAATAACCTGAGGGTGTTCCAGATTAAAGGAGAGATTGACGCCACAGTCCAGGGAGAGAGGACTGTACAAGAATATGCTACAGAGCTGGAGCGTCTGTGGCTGGATTATGATCATTTTTCCCCCCGGGCGAGCTGCAAGCACTGGTAGCCTCTAGTAATACTGGATCTAGGGGAGAGACTTGACAGTGCTACAACTGCGGTGCGGTGGATCATCTAAGGCATGCTTGCACCAAACCACCCAAGGAAGGAGATTCGGGTGGACGTGGACAATTCGGAGGTCGTAGTCGTGACCGTGGGGGTCGATGAGGTGGCAGAGGAGCAGGGAATCGGGCGAATCTGACGGTAGCAGAAGAAGACGAAGCTGATGTGGTCTTTACTAAGGAGGATCGTGCTCTCCTGGCGATACTCAGGAGGAAGCAACAAGTAGCAGGGGATGGAGACTTGAGGAGTGGGACTGAGGAGGCATCTACTTCGTTCTTCGTCAGAGGCAATACTGCTACCTATGCTCATCCGACCAAAGGTACTGATGACATACATGCTCTTGCTTCTATGTCTCCCAACAGATCATCAGAATGGATAGTCGACTCTGGTGCGTCTCGGCATGTGACAGGTAATGCTAGTGAGTTCTCATCATATACTCACTTAGCATCACCTGATAGTATTCAAACAGCTGATGGTACATTTCAGCCGGTAGTTGGTAAGGGTACAGTCGATTGTACTGGTTCTGTAACATTGTCCAATGTTTTGCATGCTCCTTCATTTCCAGTCAATCTTTTGTCCATTAGTTCTATCATCCTCCAACTAAAATACATTGTTTCTTTTGATATTCCCAAGGTGTTCTTTCAGGAGAAGGAGACAGGACGGAGACTTGGGACTGGCACATGGCGTAGTGGACTGTGGTATCTGGATCGTGAAGGGCTGGATTCAGCATTGGTGTTAGTAGTAGAGGAAGCAGGAGTAAGATCTAATATGAGTACTGAGAATGAGTTAATGCTTCATCACCAGCGGTTGGGACACTTATCATTTGGTATTTTAAGTAGATTGTATCCCTCTTTATTTGAGAAAGCAAATAAACAGAAACTTGTGTGTGATGCATGTGAGTTTGGAAAGCTTACTAGAAGCTCTTATGTTAGTTCAGGTCATTGAAGTTCTCGTATATTTGACTTGGTACATTCAGATGTTTGGGGGCCTTGTTCCACAAGTTCTATGAATGGATATAAGTATTTTGTTACATTTATTGATTGTTTCTGTCGTGTGACTTGGTTATACTTGATGAAGAATAAGAGTGAAGTGTTTGGGTGCTTTCAAAACTTTCATAAGAATGTTCAGACTCAATACGGAGCAGTGGTGAAGATATTGAGATCGGATAATGGGACAGAGTATACCAACAGAGCGTTTGAAGAATATTTGTCAGCTCAGGGAATACATCACCAGACAACCTGTCCATACACACCAGCTCAGAATGGGATAGCGGAAAGGAAGAACAGACATCTTTTAGAGGTTGCTAGAAATATGATGATCTCTATGAATGTCCCAGAAACATTGTGGGGGCAAGCAGTGTTGACCGCAGCAGCGCTGATCAACAGAATGCCCTCGAGAGTGATAGATTCGAAGTCTCCGTGTGAGACATTGAAGGGAGATAATGGTGGGATTCTTCCACTTAAAATGTTTGGCTGTGTGTGCTTTGTGAAGGACAACAGGCCATCAGTCGGGAAACTTGTCCCTAGAGCTGTGAAGTGCATCTTTGTGGGATATTCTGCTATTCAGAAGGGATATGTTTGTTGGAGCCCGATGGAGAAAAGGTTGTTTGTGAGCATGGACGTGCACTTCCGAGAACTCGAGCCATATTACACCCGGAAGGTAACTTCATCCGTTGGTAACTCGCCCAATACTGGAAGTATGAGGCGAGAGGAGGAGAATGGTGAGAGATTGGTAAATATGGAGAAATCAATGTCTGAGAATGGTGAGAGATCAGGAAAATCAATTTCTGTAACGATTCCTTGGGAAGGAGACTTGGTTGAGGAGGAGCAAGAGAATGAAGAAGAAGAGGAGAATGAGACAAGAGGTGTTAGACCAACGGCTCAGGGGGAACTACTTACCTATAGTAGGAAGGGAAAACAAATTGCGGGAACAGTACCTACAGTGTCACTGGTGCCAAGTCCCTTGCCAACGCCTGCCCCAACTCCTGAGACACCTACACCACCACCAGATTCCTCTCAAGGTGATTCCATTCCTCTTCCTACTCATCCCACACCAATAACTGTACGGAGGACTACTCGCAGTAATGCGGGAAATCCTCCCGATAGATATGATTGGGATCTTGCTCAGTTTGTATCATATTCTAACATTCACCCTGCACATGGAGCATTCATTGCATCACTGGACTCTGTTACTATACCTAACAATTGGCAGGTTGCAAAGAAGGACCAGAAATGGAAAGCTGCTATGCACGAAGAGCTAAGGGCCCTTGAGAAGAACCGCACTTGGGAGTTAGTAAAACTACCAAAAGGGAAGAGAGCAGTTGGATGCAAGTGGGTCTTCACTGTGAAGCAGAATCCAGATGGACAGGTTGAGCGCTACAAAGCTCGTTTGGTGGCGAAAGGATATAGTCAGACATATGGCATCGACTACGATGAGACTTTTGCACCGGTGGCAAAGATGAGCACTGTTTGGACCTTAATCTCTCTGGCAGTAAATGGTGGATGGAAGCTACACCAACTAGATGTGAAAAACGCATTTCTTCATGGAGATCTAGTGGAGGAGGTATACATGGAGATACCACCAGGATTCGGTACAGATCAGACAGTGGAAAAGGTCTGTAGATTGAAGAAGTTTCTCTATGGGCTAAAGCAGTCTCATCGTGCTTGGTTTGATAGATTCAGGAGGGCTATGATAGGTATGGGGTACCAGCAGATCAGCGCCGACCATACCGTGTTCTTTCGAATAAGTGGAGGTCACATCACCTTGCTTGCAGTATATGTGGATGATATGATTATCACAGGGGATGATGAGAAGGAGATTGCCCAACTCAAAGTGAGACTGGGTAAGGAATTCGAGGTGAAAGATCTTGACTTGCTTCAATACTTTCTTGGAATAGAGATAGCTCGAGGAGTAGAGGGGATCGTCCTATCCCAGAGAAAGTATGCACTGGATCTTCTCAAAGAAACATGAATGTTAGGATGCAAACCTGCAACTACACCGATCGACTAGAAGTTTAAGCTGGGTGCTGAAGCTGGAGAACCAGTTGATCGTGACAGATACCAAAGGCTGGTGGGCAAGTTGATCTATCTGTGTCACACACGTCCCGATATCTCTTTTGCAGTGAGCGTGGTGAGTCGCTACATGCATGATCCAAGGAAGGGTCATATGGACACAGTGTACCAGATTCTAAGGTATTTGAAGAATGCCCCCGGAAAAGGGCTAATCTTCAGGAAGAATGAACACATGAGCATCGAGGGCTATTGTGACTCTGATTGGGCTAGCTGTGCTGATGACAAGAGGTCCACCTCAGGATACTGCATCTTTATAGGAGGCAACTTAGTCTTGTGGAAGAGCAAGAAGCAGTCGGTGGTGGCGAGATCGACAGCTGAGGCAAAGTATAGAGCTATGGCCTTAGGAATTGTTGAGTTACTATGGTTGAAGAGTATGCTGGTGGAGCTGAAGCTGGATCAAGGAGCTAAGATGAAGTTGTGGTGTGACAACAAGTCAGCCATCAGTATCGCCAACAACCCAGTGCAGCATGATAGAACCAAACACATCGAGATCGATAGGTTCTTCATCAAAGAGAAGTTGGATAGTGGATTACTGGAGCTAAGTCATGTTTCGACTAAGGACCAGGCAGCAGATTGTCTGACTAAAGGACTTAGCTCAGTAGATATGATTAGAGGATGTGACAAGATAGGCTTAGTAAATATCTTTCGCCCATCTTGAGGAGGAGTGTTGACATATTAGTATTAGTTAGGGACTTATTTGTAAGTTGTGTAGGGGCCTATATAAAGCCCCAAGAGACCTCATAATAAATTAGGGTTTCTATTAGCAATTGTAACCAGTACAATTAACAAGATGCAATTTACGAGGCAGGGTGAAATTTGTTGTTACTAAAACTGAAACGGAACAACATATCATGTATATGCTACTGTAGTTCTGGCATTGACCTTGAATGGACAGTATATATACTTGTCAAAAGGCTGACTATCCGACGAAAGTAAACAAATTTTATTTATGATTTTGTTAAATTTGGTATTCTGTTATTTGCATGAGTGCAGTGCAATAATGTGATGCATGTTATTTTACAATAGGAAAGTGCTCTTTTGTTGCCCCAATTTTTGGGCTGTTTTTTTTGGAATTGTCTCAAATTTCATGCTTCTTATCATTTAATTTCTGTTCATCTGGTCTAGTTTACTGATTTTACATTACTATGTAAAGTCTTCCATGGCAGGGCCTAAAAGCTGCCACAAAAAAACAGAAATATGATAAGATATGTGAAAAGAAGCTTTCAACTCCTATTGAGGTATGTCTATACATGTTATTGGTTTCAAGAATGTCCTTGTCTCGATAATGGAAGTTTTCTGAAGCATTACATGTTTTTTAATAGGTTTTATGCAAATCACATCCTGTAGAATTTGCTTCCTACTTCCATTACTGCCACTCTTTGACATTTGATCAACGACCTGACTATGGATTTTTGAAGCGCCTGTTTCGAGACTTGTTTGCTCGTGAAGGTATAGCTGGTCAATGAACTTTATGCAGGTGTCCTTATGATGTGTTATTACTGCGCTCATGTTTCATAAACTTGATTCATTTTATACTCGTCTGTTCTTAGATTCTTCAAATATTTCTGTACACTTCTATTGGGATTATTGTTCTTGTAATGACATAATGCATTATGTTTATTCTAAGTAGTAAATAGCACAATTAAAGATGTCACAAAAGTACACAAGTAAGGTGTATATGCTAATAGGCAAAATAAGGTATGTCATCCTATAGAGGATTTTTTTATTGCAGATACTGAGAATTCATTGTCGAATATGTAATGCCTCGTTTGGTACACAAGAATTGAGTGAAGTGAGAATGAGATGGACTAAGGAATGGAATAGAATTACTATGAGAATGGAATGCTCATTTCCATTCTCACGCTTGGGTGCAATTTACAGAATGAAGTAGGAATGGACGTTTATGGAAATTATATATTTATTAATTCCCACTTAAGTGGAAATGCCCATTCTCTACCCTTTCATTGGAATGCTTATTTCCACATAAAGTGGGAATTGATGAGAAGTGGGAATTAGTATTGCAACGTAAACAAAGAGGTTGTGTTTGATAGGAATGAATGAGAAGTGAGAATTGGCATTCTATTTCCACTCATTCCTGCGCAAGGTTTTAAATGTCGAATGTCGGGTTCATGTCAGACGGCTGAAATCCATGTCAGATAGCGAAAATCGGGGATATATCGGGGGACATGGACTAAATATCGGATTGTCATATCGGGTGATGCGCATATGTATAATATCATGTCCTAAATGTAATCTAAGGACTAAATATCGGATTGTCATATCGGGTGATGCGCATATGTATAATATCATGTCCTAAATGTAATCTAAGCATTCCTAAATTCAATATAAGCATACTCATGTCCTAAATGTAATCTAAGCATTCCTAAATTCAATATAAGCATACTTTATAAATTCTAGAGGCGGTGTCGGTGATGGGTGGATTTCAACATCACAGGGAGGCAGTGTCGGGGCTCTTCTTCTTCGTCTGTTCGGGGTCCTTCGGATGAGTCACTGATTACCCTCTTCCCTTTATCCCGATGACGGAATACCCTGTCGTCCTCGGGTTCGGTTCGGGTTCGGATTTTGGGGTGCAACGAGAGATGGACGATGTGGGGCCGAGATGGAGGTTGGGGAAGGGCGTTGTCGTTCACGAAAGGAGTGATGGGTTCCCAAGTCCGTTGCAGCCCTAATTTTTCTCATTTTTTTCTACCGGGTTCATAAGAAACCCTTAAACATGAGAACGGGTCAAACGAGTTTGGGTTTTTATCACTAAACCCAAACCCAATAACAAAAAATAAATCTAAAAAAATGGTCATATCGGCCGATTTTTCAAAGCTAAAAAATCGGCCGATATGCATGATATATAGCCCTGATATTTTCGATTTGGCCTTGAAAACCGACATACGAGTTAAAAACGCCTATATCATGTCGCTCAAGCCCTCAAACCAGCCGACATTTAAAACCTTGTTCCTGCGTACCAAACAAGGTGTAAGTGCAATTCTTCCTTGCTGCTTTTGAATTGATAGTAGATATCGCCACATGTGTAGCTAATGACTGTCCAAATGATTTCAACTGCTTTATTGGGTTTTGGGCTAATTGTGAATTGAGGAGCCTCTAGCTTTTTCTTGGATGTTATCTAGGTTTTGGATGAAAGAGAGAGTGGGATGCATGCTCTACTTTGAGTGAGAGGTCCTCTTTAGTTTTGTTCCTTTTTCAGGAGCAGCAGCCTCCAGTCATTTGGCAATGAGTTACACTCGGCTGCTTTGGCCTTCTTCATTCATTCTATTTGTAGATTTGTATAAAAATAGAATATTGTAGATTGGGTGTGTTTGGTAACCAATGTGTTTTTAGTGTTGTGTTTTCTATAAAAATACCATACCATGGTGTTGTTTTCAAAAGTGTTTTGAAAACACCATTGTGAGTTTTTGGTCAAACACTAGTTTGACCCTTCATATAATGCATATAGAATCAACCCACCACCAAGCATTATTTTCACTCGACCACCACCCTTACTCCTGCCTGCCCCCTGACGCCTGTCGTTGGTTGCTACCTCCCACCCATCGACAACCGGCCATCGCTGACCTCCGCCTGCTTGTTTGGAAGCTCCGCCTCTGCCACCTATGATTATCAAAATAATTGAACACACTAATATGCCACCACTCCCCTAAGGCAGTGATGAATAATGATGCAACACATTCCGCTGATATTAATATTGTATACATCAAACTCAAAATACATTTTAGTGATGTAAACAATATAATATACATCAATTTCAAAATACATCCTATTGATGTTGCACAATATGATCATTTCATATTTTTGGGCCAAACAATTTCGAAATTCTGCCATTCGACGAAGGTGTTTTAGGCTAACATTATCAGAATGATGTGTTGTTCTCATGCAGTAATGTCATCTTTTTCAAGCTCCACATCTTCATTTTTATACTCGATAACTAACGTATCTCCAGAATCATGCATTCGAATCAAATTATGAATAACACAACATACTAATGCAATATATTTTTGCTTTTTTAAATTATATGAAGGTATGTCCATTAGAATTGGGGATCTTTTTTCAATTTTCCAAAGCATCGCTCTATAACATTTCTTAATGAAGAATGGAAGCAATTAAATAGCTCTCTAGCACCTTGGGATGGAAGATTCTACCCTCTATAATCACGTTAGTCATAGTGCTTTCCATAGAATGGTGAAAGAGAACCCGACATATTGGTATACCCAGAATCGACCAAATAGTACTTTCTTGGAGGCATGGGTAATTTGTTTGCTGGATTGCTAATGCATTTTAAGAAATTCTTGAATCATCCACACTTCCTTCCTAACCACTCATAATAAATGTGAATCGCATATCAAAAAAATAAGCACACATCATGTTCATCGTTGGTACAATTTTCTTTCCACGGTATGGAATTTGATCATTTTGTGACACCCAAGCTGAAATGAGTATTATCTATCGCTCCTACGCAATTCTATCATGCAAAAATATATAAATATCAGAACAATAAAAGAAAATGTCATTTAATTGAATGTATTTAGAAGGAAAATATTCATGCCTTGAGATAAGGATAATACTTTGGTTTAGTCGATATCTCTAATGGAGTTTCATCATACGAAGGATGGACTATGACATATTTCATCAGAGAACAAATTGCATGAAGTACTATCTTAAAATATGTAGAGTAGGGATTGTCTCCAATGAGCGTTGAAATGATCCGCAGCCATACGTTGTCGTTCATGATGAGAAAGCACGAATAACAATATTGCTACTTATTCTTGGATCGTCACATTTCTAAAATGTTTTAATTTTTCACTTCTCTTTTACTCTTCACAAAGACTAACAAATGCCTCTTTTTTCATTCGAAAAAGATCATAACAAGCGTATATAAATATCTAAAATAGAAACAGATGCACACATTCTGATGATACATAATAAGATTTTAATATAATTCATACAACACACGTTCACAACACAAACATAACATGAGCAACAAAGACTAGCAAATACAGAGGTTCCTTAACCTAATAGAAACAAACATAATAGAGACACGCACAAAGGTCCTTAACCTAATAGAAACAAATATAATAGAAACACACACAAAAGTCCTCAATCTAATAGAAACAAACATATCGTAAACACCATTGTGAGGTCCTCGATCTAACACAAACAAACATCAACGAGGACTTTAACACCTAAGACATCTTTCTCTTATTAGGCATGGCTACAAGTATTGCCCTCCATAATGCATCGTCATGCAAAACCTGTGCGACCTGGGAAAACTGAGTTGAATCAATATCTTTAAGCGCACTAAGTGCAATAATGCAATTCATCACAATTTGATCTTCTTTAGAAGGTAAATTTGTTTGCCTATTTATAGCACCACTAACATGATTATCTGCAGAATTGAACTCATTTTTCTCTCCCTCCATTCCATTATCCTCCTAGTGTTTTCTCCTATTGAGGTGAAAGCAGCCACCATTGCTAATTGGAGTTGCTGCTTCAATGGTACACATTTCTTTGCCACTTTTGCCTTTTTTTAGCTTATGATGACTTTGCTTCCTCGTCATCATCTTCTTCTTCTTCTTTGTCATCCTCACAAATGGTAGGACTTTTGGTAGATGGATGGGTATTATTACTGCTAGCAGTTGTATCACCAAAAGATGCACAAATTTTCATATCCTTTACATTTTTTTTCCCTGTAAAAATACCATGCATACTTGTGGGCGTGTGCAAAACAAAATAAATAATGAATCCTACCTCACATGAGGTATATATAAATATTGAAAAATGAATCATCAAGTATTGCTGCGTATAACTTGTTTCACGCATCCTCCAATGTTGATATTATACCGGTGCTTGTAGTATATCCAACTCTCGTATCCTTTAGTATATTTTTCAAATTTCTCCATCTTTGACTTAATTGGTTGAACTTATATTTCAATTGTCCATGAGTATATTCTCTCCGATCTTTTTTTTCAACTCATCTTCCAAGAATTTCCAAGCCACTCGAGTAGTAGTATGCCTATATCTTTTTTTCACTTCTTCCTCCATCAAATCTATAAAATAAAGATCTGTCTTTTCAGGCCAAGGTCCCGCCCCGTGTGAAGAGCTAATCTCCTCCACATGCTCAACATCATGAGTTTCACTTGACATTTATTATGTTCACCACAACATCAAAATAAAGAAGCATAATAAAATAACACATCAGTCTTTGTGATATCACTAAAGAGGCGTAATAAAATAGGCACACTGACAGTAACCATATTTTGCTGAAGATTCATACTCACATAAACCAAAGATGCATACACATAGTTTAAAAAGGATTTTCATTATTGCTTTTCTAATACTCGTTCATCTTCAAGCATTAGTTGTAGTCAAACTAAGCTTAATACACTGTAAAAGAGAGATTATATACATAGAAGTCAAACACAAATAGATCACTGTTATCGTACCCCTGGAAAGTATAATTGTCTAGCCTAATATTCAGTGCAATAGTGCATTACACCACTGCTCATGGACTACTATTATCATACCCCTGGAAATGATTGATTGGTATCATTCATACTTACACTAATTTTGACTATATAGGCATAATTGTCCAGCCTAAGGACAATTATATTTTTCTTCAACCTCAATCCTCACATCAATACACAAAACTAGATGGCCTGAACAGAGAGTGTCCATTGCCATTAAGCACAGGCCACCACCATATACAAACTACTATAAAACTTTTGATGTGCAAAAACGACTTCTTACGGAAATGGCCGCCCCATAAATTTTCTAAAAAACTCACTATAATAAAATTGTGATTTAATGACATCTTCTAATATCATGATAGCAAAATGCTTAAATTGACACATTTAGGATGAAATTAGACACAAAAAATGTAAGAAACACTATGCAAAATGGAACAGGATGTGAAGGGAGGTGAAAAATTAGGAAAAAAATGAATCTGACACAAATTAGGGCAAAACCCCAATCCAAAATAACATACGAATTAGGCTTATTTTGCAATAAATTCGTGCAATGTGGAGGAGGGACTGAGAGGAAGAAGAAAACATGAGAGGAGTGAAGTGAGTGAGAGGGAGAGATTTGAGTGTTCAAGAGAGAGAGCGCTGAATGCCTTGATCGGCAATCTGACCGGACCTTGGATGACAATGATGACTTCCACGATGATGGAGACTATAGTTGTGGCTATGGCAGCGACTTGGAAGTGATTGTCAATTGCAGGTAGGTGAGATGAGCTCTAGACAGCAGAAAACAGGTTTGGGAGTCTTCTATTCTTAGTCGGGGGAAAAATCTAACACGGTAAACTTAAAACACCTTTTAGATGATTTGAGAAAATCGTTTAGGTTTGGTTTTTTTATGTTTCAGCCCAAGTAAATCATCGACGGTTACCCACCTTTCGGGGATTTTTTTTTCCGCGGGGGGGGGGGGGGGGTGGGGAGGAAAAGCAGAAATGCCTCAGTTGCCAAAAGCGCCCGTATATTCTCATTCATTAATCAAAGGGCTACAACTCCCCTTTATATAGGGATACAATCGCAAAGGTTTTGTGTTGTAGAACAATATAGGACTAAACTTAAATCCCGAATCACATTTCTAATATCTTTCAATCATCATATCTCTTAGCATATACTTCTAATTTTTCTGGCCTAATATTACTTATTGCCTTAATTACTTCTAACAAGATTAATAGAGGAGTCTCTTGATTGACCACTGAGGATCTCTCCTAACCTAATACATAAAACCCTCTGCTAAAGAAGGTGTATACTCTTGCATGCACTCGTAAATCCTCAGCTAAGTTTGGTCCTCCTCTTTCCTAATTTTCTCTAGGTACATGACAGAGTGTATTCTGTTGTTTCTTGCCAACTGTATATGCAATGTGTCACATGAACTGTGAACATGAGGCTTATGCATCGGCCTTTGTTATGGCTACCTTTTGTATAGCTTTTGACCTTTCTCCAAATTTTTACGATGAGGTTTTACTCCAGGGCATCAAAAGTATTTCCTTTATAAATCTGGTCTACGGTGAAGACTTTCCGAATAAATCAACTCAACCCAAAGTGAGACTGGATGGAAGTTTAGATATTCGGCTGACAATCAAGCAGTCTAGCTCTTTTTATAACACTTTCCAATCAATTTAGTTTCTAATTTTATCTTTAATTACTAAAAAGCTACTTTGAAACTAGCAAGCTGTTACACTATTTTAACTTCCCTTGGAAAGTTGCCTGATGTGTCTACATTGGTTTCTCGTAACTTAAACTACTCTTAACTTATGCTAACAAAACGTGTTGAACTGTTATTTAAATTATTTTTTAAGCTAATAATCTTAACATGCTATATCTAAAATATGCTAAAATTTTATAATCTAAATATCTTATGTAAATCTATTTAATATATTTGAATTAAAAGAATAGGGAAGTTGATTTATTGGGCTTACCTGAAGATACCACCAAAGCTGATGTGTTGCATTACACATGTTCTGGAATATGATCTTACACATTTGTATAGATCTACGAAACCTACTGCAGGCAGGACACCATGGGCTATCGCTGTCCTTAAGCATGATGCAACCAAAAAGCCAGCTTCCAGCATGATCAGCATAGAATAAAGGAGGTTCTCAACCTCTGTGGTTCCTCTTAAGGACTTGGACCTTATTGCTGATATCTATCGTATGTCATCCAAGTTCTACTCTTCTAAAGTTGTAGGAATTTCAGATGCATATTCACAACAGACCTCCCAAGCTGATATCTAAGAGACTTTGCATGTTATGATCTAGTATATACTCTTAGTTGATTAAATTTGAGTTTCTGTTGCTCATTTTGTCAATCTCAGGATATGAATTCGACTATGTCTTTGACTGGACTGTCTTAAAATATCAGCAAAACCAAAGATCTAACCCTCAGCCGCAACCTTCTGTAAGTATGCTGTTAAATTAAGTTTCCTGAGGATCTATTTGCGTTTCTGTTTATTTTCTTTCCCTTCCTCCTTTTCTGGAGGAGACACTGTCAAAATTGAGACCGCGCTAGCAATCCTTTGGACCTTTACTGGACTAGTTTTTCTTTCTTCATATTTACTGATCAGAATTATTGTCTTGCAGCGAGCTTTAGGTGGGATGAGAAGTCGAGCAAGGCCATCAGATGTTGACAACAAACAAGGTGGGTAAATCACTGTTTTTAGTATTGACATGTAGAGTTCTTTTAGTTTCATGTAATCAAATTCAAGATATCCAATTTCAGTAGTGGGTCCAAATTATGCCAGTTATACTGGTGAGACTTAGCAAGCATCTCGCCAAGCACCCATTGCCAGAGTACCAGCCTTGGAACAAAAGTTTTCAGAATGAGGGTATCATGTGCCGTTGAGCAGACCCAGATACCAACAGTCATGATGTTTATTACTAATGCTCTGGAATTGCATTTTTTTTTGTTTTGTTACTGATTATCTTGTTTAACAATGTGGCTTCAGGTGGAAATAATTTTCCTCGTCAAGATGAGATGAAAGACCACATAGAATCAAGTAATATGCGCCCTCCAGTTCAGATGCAATTTAAATCTTCAGCAGATAGGCAACTGAATTTTGATAATCATGGTCTTGAGAAAAAGGTCAGTCATATGATATGTTCCCTCAGTTCAGTTGTAATATTGCTTGACTTATGTATTGAGGAGCTGCAGGATAACCAAAAATATAAAGATTATAATGTTAGGACTATTAGCTGCAAGCCTAAAAGATCATTCTGCTAGAGATTGTGAAAATTTCAGGAAATATTTTTCTCAACTGAAGTAGGACAAAAATACATGTATCAAATCTCTGCTTATTGGGTTATTAAAAAACCTGCTTATTGTGAACGACATTATTAATACATCCAGATCATAAGTCAGGGACTGAATTTGCAGGTGTCAAGTGGTGTAAGGCCAAGCAACTGGAGTGATACACCAGTCAGCATTTACTCATATAGACAAATATAAACCTTACCATATTCCTTTATCCTATTTTTTGGAGGCTCACTGTCTATTTGTTTCTTGTGATTATATCCTTGAGTTTGTTGGCATTATGTCCTAATCATAATGTTTTTTTGAAGTGCATATTCACATGTGTAGTACATATGTATATACATACACACATGTATACACATGAAAAAAATGGGTAATAGGTGGTAGTTCATGTCCAGCATCTCCTATGCATGTGCGCGTGAGCTTAGGTGCATGTCTTAGGGATCCCTTAACCGAGCTTTGATGAATCACAATCTCTGTGTCATGTTACACGTGTTTCTTACTGTTGATGGTCATGATTCCTACGTTGATCCTGCATCAAGAGTTTGTTGGCTTTGTTTTACTAATTGTAGTGTTTCATGTCAAAATCAGTGAAACCAAAAACTGCCAAATTTTAATATCTGTAGAACCATTAGACTGGGACTGTTTGGTGAAATCTGATTGCAATAGTTTCAAATTTTGGCTTCTTTTAGCCGCGTAAGCTCACTTTTCTTTTGTATCTTGCATGTTGAATTGGTTTATACATGATACTTTGTGTTAGTATAGCTGATTTTAGGTTAAGCTTGGTTATGGAAAGAGGAGTATCAATTGATTGGAGGCGAGACATTTTGCTAAAGAATTGTAAAAGCTGATGGATATAATAAATGAAAGGGGTGAGGTGATTTGTTTTGCTGAAATCATCGTTATCCTGCGAGAATTTCTTGCTAAAGAATTGTAAAAGTTGATCCATACCATAATGAAAGGGGAGTAAAGCCATGGGCATTTTCCCGAAAAAGGGGAGAGGTCATTTGTTGAGCTGCAATCATTGGTGTACTGGTGTTGTCATTAATTTTAAAATTTTCCTAAAACGAGTGCTTCAGTGTCAGAATTTGAATTCTGATTGTTTAGGAATGCACATGTTGCCAAATGGTAGAAACTGCTTCATAGAATTCGTTGTTCTTAATTTTTTACTGACATCCGTATCATATATCCTTTCAGGCTTTTTCTGCCTGTTTTTCTTCATAATTGGATTTATGAAACATTTCTTCTTTTAATGATAAACACTATAACAACCGTTGTGGTACCATTTTTCTCTCTCAGTTTCCAAATACATTTACTTGCTTTCAGAAAATCTATATTTTTGAATTCTTATCAGCTTTCTAATAAGATATCTACCTCCTTTAGGGTGGTGACAAATTAAATGTGGCATCTTCATCATTTGCTTTTTCAAGTGCACCAACAAAAAACATTGTTGGCTCAAGACCATCAGGATCAACAGATCCATCCCATCTTGGTCAGGATGTGAGAAACAATTTTGGTTCCTCTAGTAGCTGGATTCCCACATTCCAGAGGAATGCTTCTGCAAAATGATTGGTAAGCTAAAATTCCAGTTTCTTGTTCTATTTCTGTAGAAACAAGAAGTCTAATTATACATGACATCTAAATTATTTGTGATGTCTTTTAGCACGTCTTATTGAGCTTTAGTAATTTGTATCTCATCTGCGTATCAATCGAGATTCGGGAAGATGGTTTCTTCATGGTTGTGGTATGAAGATATTGACAAACATTTGATTTCCTTATAATTGACTCGTGTTCCAGGCTAACCTATTGTAGGGCACTTTCTGTTGGTTTCTTGACCACTTTATGCTGATTTATTTGCTTTATTATTTTGTTTTGATGCACACACATCTCAGGATACTGTTATTAATTCTGAAACCACAGTAAAGTCTGACTGAATTTTATAGGAAATTATAGTGTACACACAGCAAATTCCTAGGAAGCATGGAACAGTGAACGTTTACTAATTGAGCAAGCTTTTCTGTTGGGCATTGTTTATATTGCAGTTGAATCAACATGCTATGAAAGTAGGCAAGCTCATACTTGTTTAATTACATGCATTGAATTGCAGTGTGTTTACAATGTGTGTGAATTGTAAAATGATACAATTCTGATGTCTGGTGCATTTTTGTAGTGCTTTATGTACACTTTTTTTTAATATGAATTATTGTTGTTAAGCACCTGCCCTATTTTTTTTTTCTTCAGGAAGGACTCTAAAAATGAATGATCCTAAGGAGAATATTGTAGCACTCGTGGTGAGATGTTTGTGAAGTCTTCATTTGTTCGTCATTTTCTGGATTTAAAGGATGCATACTGAGCCTTGATAAAGATGATCACAGAGTCAAACCTAATGGGCATGCTGCCCATTTACAAAAGCATGATTGCTGTTGTTGATTGCTACATCAGTTTACTCTCAGTGATCTAGCGTTTTATGGTCTCATCAACATGAATGATATGTCAAATGCTCTCTTCAGTTTTTTGTTAATAGATCATATAAGTTTTCACCGGCTTACCTTTTGGGTTTCTTCAAAATTCTGTGGGATCCATATTGATTCAGGGATATAGGTCCCTTATTTATTCTTGCCGTATACTTTAGTCTGAAGTCCACATGGTCCTCTGGATTAATTTAGCATTAGACGCCCAAGACGTTCATCATCTGATTGTACACCATGAAACTAGAGCTCTGGGTGCCAGACTTCCCTGTGCTTTTTGTGGAGACTTTTATTGGATAGCTGATATTTCTGACCTGTAAGTTGATCATTGGTATTTCAAAGAGGACATGCACTTTATTCTTTACTCTTTTAGTAAATTCATGCCATTTTCTCTTATACAAATATTTTCTATTCTCCAGAATCCGCCGTAGCTGGGAAGCTGTAGATGTATATTGCTTATGGAGATATTCACTTTCAGATCACACAACTGAAACTGTATCTGGCTTCAGCTGGGGAAACATGACTCATTTTTTTAGTGATGAGGAACTATTACAGGTTTCATCAGATTGCATGTTGTACTCATGCATCAGAGGAGACATCTTTCCCAAATATCCCCGCTCTGTATTTTCGTTCTTTATTATCCTACGGAGATTCAGGTTCCAGTCTCCGTAAATTGCATTGTCCTTGAATTCTTTGTGATTAACCCGAGGGGGGCTAAAGTCCTAGTTATAAATGGGTGGAAGGCTAAGTAGTCAGGATAATCAAAGGGATCCAACTTATTTGTTATAGGTAGCAAGTGACAGAATCAGATATATCAGCTGAAAATTTGAAGGTCAGTAATCCAGGTAAGCAAGGTACTTTTTTTTTCTTCCATCAATAGCTTTTAAACCCTTAAGTTGCTTTCCAGTCTAGAGATACTAATAAGACTGTTCAGTCATGAATTTGAGATTTCATTTAAAAAAAATGAATTTGAGGATTTCAGCTCCTTCCTTTTTGCTTAAAATTTTAAATTCCTGTAATTCATTCCAAGTGAATGCTATCGCTATCCTATTTGCCTGGAACTGCTAGGTTTTCATTAGGTCATAATTATCTCTTAAAGCTATTGGGCCTTCGATGTAATCACATTAACTATTATTACAAGAAGCTTGGCGTAGCTACATGATTTATTCCTCATCGTGAAGCTTTATTTCTAAGTCTCTAGATCTGGTGCTATTTGCTATTTAATCTCATCACTAGCGTTATTGTCTCTGGCTCCTCCAGTTAAATCTCTGCTTTCACTTTCTGTGTAGTAGTTTGCCATTTACAGAGGCAAAAGGGGTTTGCATTTTCTTAGCAGATGTAACGCTTGTGTGTTTTACTTGAAGTTTATGGCATGTTTATGGCATCTCTGCATAGAATATTGTTCTCTTTTTCTCTCCTTTTTCTTCTTTCTCTCATTTTTTTCACTGGAAGGTTGTAGAACTATAACTAAATACTAGGTTTTCATCTTTAACTCTCATGAAGTAGATATGTTCAGTGCTATGCTAGATGAAGCTGAATTATTTTTTAGTGAATTTTAGAAATCCCTTCGCTTGCAACACAAATTTAAATGTGAGTTTAATTGATACAAGCATTGATATAGCAAAGGGATGCTTTACGAATGTGTTCCTGATTATGTGTGTTTGCTAGTTGATATTTATCCGTAGATTCCATTGTGAACCGTGGAGAGTTAACTCGAACGCAAATGCTTTTGAGGTTCGTGACTTATTTGCTCACTTGATAAAGTTTTGATTGGCTGCTACTATGATAGATATCTTCGACTGTCTCACATAAGTAGGGGGGGTACTGTGCGTTCGTGTATGCTGATAAGTTCTAGTTTCACTCTTTTTTCCCGTTTCCTTTTTGTTTGCTTAATTACGTCATTTCTCTGCTGACTGAATCATCAATGTGTGTTTTTTTAATCAGGTTCATCATTTTCGTTGTGTGATTTCTGAAACCCATATCGAACGAACAATAACAAAAATCTGTCTCTAAACCAGGATGATAACCATTGCCATTACCGTTATATTGTATTTTATCAGCTTAAGTGAAAATTGATTCAACACGTCTTATTTTAGAAAAAGAATGCACGAAATAAAGAAGCTACCTTAGGTAGCGTTTGGATGTCATTGGTGTTTTAGTTTTGTTTTCATGTTTTTGTTAAAAATAAAATGTCATGTGTTCGAAAACAATGGTTTTTTTTGTTAGGCTACAATATCAAAAATTAAAAACACAATATTTATTTTGAAGTACTAAAAAGTTGTTTCAAGTTTGATGTTTGTGCTTTGGGTTTTAAGGGTAATATAATGTCTAATATAATATTTGTTATATAATATAATATAATATTAAATTATATTATTTAATATATTACATTATAACACTTATTTTCAAATATATTAATACTATGTTTAATACTATTAATTAATAATACATATAATATTATAATTAATATAATATAATAATTATATTTTAAATACTATCATGTATATTATATTAATACTAAATAGTAGTAAATTAAATATAGTAATATAAACACAATAATAACATAAAATATATTATATTTGTTATATAACAATAATATAGTATAATATAAAATTAAATTAAATTATATATTATTTAAATATATTACAATATAATATTAGTTTCCTAATATATCAATATTATTATTGATGTCTTGGGACCCAGCAACGGGATTAGAGGACAATCATGTACAGTTCAGGGCTTAGGGTCGGTATGGAAGATGTAGTGGTCCCCTCATCTCTTTAGCCAGCTGATCCCCTGATAGGATGAGAGTTCTGTAAAAACTACAACATGTTAGAGGACCTGAGTAAGATTCTCTGGTGATTTCTTCGATGATCAAGTCAGTGTAGAGTTGAGTGGGGAATCAATGAATTGAGTTAGTTCTTAATGTGCAGAGATTGCGTTATTTAGCCTGAGATGGCTTACCATTGGTCAATAGGCGAGAGCCTCTATATATACCCTGCTGAGAGGGGTACATATGTAATTTTGGCTGAGACCAGGCAGGTAGCTGAGTCAACCAATAATCTATAGATGTCGGCTGCAGATGAGATAAGTCACTACTGATCTTGATGTGATGGTGACTAAGGAGGCGTGGAGCTGATGGGAGGTGATGAGTCATGGAGACTCGTGGCATGAGGATTGATGATGGCCAGCTATTGGTGAGGAGTTTGAGGATAAACTGCCTCTCAATTCTGTTCTGCGAGCGGGATAGCAAGTACTGCCTTTTTTTATCGGCCTTGCAAGTTGTCCACCCAGCCTTGAGTGAATGAGCGGGGTTGACTCAAATGGTGAGGTCGAGTGAGAGCTTGTCTTCACTCAGCCCTACTTGGGAAGAGACGACTGCCCATGCTATCCAAGTCGTCCTGGTTGGGGTGAGCTGAGTTGATGATTAGTGTTAACACGGGACACGTGTCGACTCCAAGGGGAGGATTAGCACTTAGGTTATATGACATAACACTGGCCCCTTTCGTTCGAACTCGGGGTAGCCGAGTCCGAGTGAAATAGAACAGTCGCTAGTCAGGTCCCAAAGTGCACTTATGAGGAGGTGCTGAAGAGTCTCTTCTGATATGACGTTGCTGACGTCAGAGAAGATCTTGAGCTGCCGCTGTCTCGACTGTCGAACGAGGATTGCAAGCTAATCAAGGTGAGTTGCGCTTTTTAGTTCTAGAGCAGTCGCCTCGTGTTCTGGGAATGATCTTGGCCGTTGGTTAATAATTGAGCCGGCTGTCATGATCTCGCCACTTGTTAGTCCTTCTACTTATAAATATGGTCGTTCTGGGAGGGGGGAGATTGCTGCTCCCTCAAATTCTTGAACTTTCTTCTGTGAAGAATAATTTCCGATCTACTTCATACTTTCTTCTCTGATGATCTTCTGATATGATGGCGTCTTCGTCTTCAATTGCTCAGAACGAGGCTCAGATCAACCATCTTCGGAGATTTCACTCAAAAGTGCCATAGTCGTTGCTGGAAAGTCTGCACGATAGTATGATATCCCAAGGGCGTTTTCCCTAGCAGCGCCGGCACGTACGCAAGTAGTGTTCGACCATGGCGACAACATAGCTCCGTGTATCTGAAGTATTTGGAGTATGGGCTGCGTCTGCCGCTCCACCCCTTCCTCCGTCATGTCTTCGAAGTTGTAGGGGTGTAGCCATCACAGATGAAGCCAAACTCCATCGCTACTCTGGTAGGGTTTGTTGTTATCTACCATTGGCACCGACACTGATAATTCTCGATCACCTCATTTGCGTGAAGGTAAATCAGCAGGAGGGCCACTATTACCTCTAGATCTTGGGGGGTAACAAGATTGTCTCCAACGCTTCTAAGTCCAGCAAGAATTGGAAGGAGATGTTTGTATGGGTCTCTGGAGACGACTCAATCTTGGCTTGCTCCAGTTGGCCCGAAATCAAGAAGGACGTGTTGAGGCCTAGGTTGCTGTCGAGCGAAGAGAAGCGTGAGCTTCATAAGATTAGGGCCTACACAGGTTCTCGTCGAAGCGAGAGCCTCTTCCACAACTCAGTTCTGCTAGTTGTCGGCATCTCCTCCATTCTCCCGACTGCGGATGATGATGCATGGTTGGCCATGTTGAAGATAAGTTCGGAGGAGACCGAGATGGTGCCAGCGGCGCCACTTGCTCGAACTTGGGGAGGGCCCTTAGCGAGGTTGAAGAAGTGCCTTCGTCATGACTTGGCCCCTAAAGAGGCCGAGAGGGCACATGACAATGTGGCCGAGATAACGGCTCGATTGGCCAGATCGAGTTCTGTACAGTTTAGGCCGAGAGGTCTGAAAAGAAGAAGAGGTGGCTGAAGAAGGTGGACAGTCGATGCCCTCCGGGGAGCGTTGGGGCTCCTAAAATCAGGGCTAAAGCTTTTAGGGAGGAAGCGGGGTGCATCCTCTGCTGTTCAGAGGGATGCAGCAAGCTAACTGGCGGTGGAGATCCCGCTTTCCCAAATAGTGGGGGATGGTGATGCTTCCGTCTTGACCCAGGAAGCTTCCATAGCTATGCCACCTGACATCGTCATTATTGACGATAGGTTCCCCGCCAGAGAAGAGTGGGTCAAAATCAACATGGCTGTGGCCGAAGAGGCCGAGGACCCAATAGAGGGAGAGGTGGCCCTTGACACGTCTGTTAAGTCAGCCCATTGGCAGGGAAAAAAGAGCTCGCTGCTGAAGGAGTGCTTCCTCCTCCTCAAGGTTCTGGATGCCCGTACCCCTACCGCATTGATGATCTCGATCTGGGGAGATGGAGTGAATTGAAGATGTTGTTGATGGGGGCCTTCCAGAGTCGGCCCTCACTATGATAAAGAGCTGTCAAAGGAGTTTAGCTTTGAACCCAGACCACCTTCATAAGAGGGCGTCGGTCTAGGAGTCTCTACTCTCCTAAACTAGGGCTGTTGAGCAGTTCTATTTGCCTTGAGATGACGAGATCCTCACTGAGATGCCAAATGTCGACCTCCATCAGTCCTGAAGGGCTATTTACTTCGAGGGGCCTTAGTTGAATAGGAGCAGTTTGGCTACTATGAGTGGGTACGAACCTCCTAACTTGGGCTCCAAGAGGAGTTAAGACGCTCAGAAGGTGGCTCGTGAGAGGAATCTCCTGACGCTGGCTACTAGAGAGGATGAGCTGGCAATATGGAAGAGAGGCAAGCACAAATGGTGTCGGGAAATGGAGATGCGAGAGAGCATGATCAATGGCCTAAAGGCTTCGAACAATAAGAAGTCGACCGAGATTAGCAAGCTCTAGAAGGATCTCGGCCATTTCAAACACGAGCTCCGTGAACAGGATGATAAGTTCTTTGTCCGAGGAGGTTGAGGTCGAGAGGTGAGAAAAGAACGACGCCTTCAAGCGGGCTTGAGCAGATTGCTTGGACACCGAGACTCTGCGAGAGCAGCTGAAGGAGGAGCAGGTTGCTTATGAAAAGCTGAGGTATGAGAGCATTCGGGTGGCGCTGGAGGCCGAGCGATAGTCCGAGTCGTCCCTTGTCGAATTCCAGCCATTGCTGGGCCATCTCGGTCATCTGGAATCTGAGGCCCACCGGTTCTAGATTGTTGAGGACTACCGCAACAGCACTCTCGGGAAGGTGGAGGTGGCCCTAGCTTGCAAGGCCGGCTATGATTACCTTGAGATGCAACTTT